TTTATTTGACATATACGATATTCATACGACTTTATTTCCAAGCTACGATATCCTGCTACAAGCTCGCTAAAGCTAGTCTCAACATGACATCCGTATATGACTCCCGATGTTGTTCTTGTCAACTCCGATCGTCCATACGATACAAAAGTTGACATCTGGTCTTTGGGTGTTTGCATTTTGAAATTATTGACTGGCAAAGCCGCGTGGAGCCGTATTCGAGATGATGAGATTATGCTCCGATTACGCAAAGGTGAGAAACCGTATGGTTTTGAACGTATGCGCAAGAAGGCCGAATTTGGTTGGGAAGCTGTAGATTTCTTGGAACAATGCTTTGCAAAGAATAGCGCTGTAACTAGTTCTGATAAAACAAAGTGCGATGTTAAAAAAGACGGTATGGACGTGTCAACATGGGTAGATAATATGGATCAGGAAGATATACTGGACGACGAGACTTTTATTTTGCAACAGGTCCAAGCCGGAAATAGAAAAAACCAACAGGGCTAAGCCATGCAGTGTTTAAAAGCTATTCTCCACAAGGGTTTCAAAGTCCCAACTCCAATACAGCGTAAAACAATCCCTTTAATAATGGAAGAAAATGACGTAGTTGGTATGGGGAAACTGATTGTATAAATCCGATAATAAATACCAGGCCCTCTTTAATAATGGATCAGCTGAAAGCAATGAATGACGGAGAAACAACTGCCAGTTGACGTCTTAGAAAGAAAACGCGTACTAATAAGCGAACATTTTACTACTGAGATCGCAATACGCCACTTTGTCAGAAAACGTATCTCAATATGTTAGGGTATCTTACAGCGCTTCCTGACCTATTTTCGAAATTTTCAGATCAGAGCTCAAAGGTTTCCCTTGGAATGTTTGCACGGTTATTCGTTACTTACCCAAGGAATCTAGCATTCTGAAACAAAGCCTCGTTTAAAATCTTAAGAGTCGTTCGTCATGCTTCGTTACGCGCTTACTCACAAGGCTATTATGGCTCGAGGCCAGAAGTTATCGATCCCGTTGCGACAAAACCTTCAGTTAGACTCGCGATCATAGAAAGTGGGCCAGCTGGGTTCTACACTGCTTATCGCGTCATGAAAGATTACCCGTCCGCTTTGATAGACATGTACGAGG